CCCCTACCTCTCCGCTTTTCCTGAACTCAGCTTCACTCCCAATTTCTCTCCCTCATCCCCCCGAGCGGTGCAGGGGGACGAGGAATGGGGGTTGTGGTCAGTTCATCACACATTGTCTCTGCCACTGCTTCCTCCTCACTCTCTTCCCCTGCTCGAGCGGGGGGTCCCCTCTCATGGGAGATAATCCTCCATGACTTCCCCGGCGTGGGTCCCTCCCACAGGGTGCAGCCCTTCAGGAGCAGGCTGCTCCGGCGTGGGTCCCCCGCGGGGTCACAAGTCCTGCCAGCAAACCTGCTCCAGCGTGGGGTCCTCTCTTCACGGGGCCACAGGTCCTGTGCCCCAGCCCGGGCTTCCCACGGGGTCACAGCCTCCTTTGGGCATCCGCCTGCTCTGACCTGGGGTCCTCCATGGGCTGCAGGTGGAGATCTGCTCCACGGGCTGCAGGGGGACAGCCTGCCTCACCGTGGTCTCCACCACGGGCTGCAGGAGAGTCACTGCTCTGGTGCCTGGAGCACCTCCTCCCCCTTCTCTTTTACTGACGTTGGTGTCTGCGGAGTCGATCCTCTCACATCTTCTCACTCCTTTCTCAGTTGTGCAGTTTTCCCACCGCCCCTTCTTAAACCCGTTCTCCCCGGGGCGCTGCCACCATCCCTTGGCCGGCAGCAGGTCCAGCTTGGAGCCAGTGGCACTGGCTACATCGGACACGGGGGAAGGCTTCCAGCAGCTTCTCGCAGAAGCCACCCCTGCAGCCCCCGGCTACCAACACCTTGCCCCGCAAGCCCGACGCAGTCTGACTGGGGAGCTCCGGGAGGCACGGTCACTGGTTCTGCGTACCTACAAGCTGGTGCTCCAGTGCAGCAGCGCCTGCATTAAACGGCAGTGACAGAGTACAGGGAACGGGGTGTTGCATTTTAAATGCTACGTGTACAAGAACGGTTCATCTGGGAAAAGATTAATGCAGAGGCAGCGATGACAGCATCTGTGAGTGTTTGCTGCAGAATAGTTGAATCATTTAGAAAGATGACTGTGTATTGATAAGTTGTAGGAAGATCCTATCTACCTGCAAATTAGCCACCTCAGTAAATAGTGCCGTGAAAGCTGCTATGAGTAGGCAAAACTCTTAAAACAGGATTCCTCCTAGTATGGCCAAATGTGTCCAATACGTTCCTATGCCAGGTTTTTCTCAGCAGTGACATGAAATGAAGTTCAGATCTGTAAAAATGTGCATAATTTCTATTTAAATGCTATTTAAATTCACTGTGCTTTAAAATTCACAGTTGCAGTTTATCTGTATAAAGACTTAAATATAAGTTGTGTTAAAAAAATTTGCATTATAAAATCCAAATAGCTACTAGGTATTCAAGATCACTCAGCTACTTGAAGTCTGTAAGCTGTAACTAGAATTTGATTAAGTGCAAAGCCAGATTTTGTACCCTCTTCTGGAGAACAGAAATATTTTCTTCATTTCACTATGTATATATTCACTGTGGATATATTTCATAAGTATATATGCATTTCAGTTCAGTAGCTAAGTTATTCAATCCTGAAAAACACCTTGAGAATTATAACAACAGACACCATTTTTTAATCTTCTACAGCATACAGTATAGGTCTACAAACTTAAAAGATACGGTTCATTTGACTAGTACAGGTAATACCAGTGTTGTGAATAAAATGATTCAAATTCAAGTTAGAAGGATGGTTTCGTAAATTATTTTTTTTTTCTCTTACCTGTTTCTTTGAAGAATTTAACTTTTGGGGGTTTTGTGTGCCTGTATACTGTCAGTATTCAAATAATAAAATTTATCTGTATATAAATTTTTAACATTCCTTAAAACAGAGCTTGATGCAATGAGTAAAATCATCATCTACTAAATGAAAAATGCATCATTAATCATTGAAAACATTGAAAGTATGAATACATTTATTAATCTATATAATTACCCTGCTTAAATACATATAGAGCGGTAGATAAGAAGGAAAACTGCTGAATTTTTCATAATGACGACATATAAGCAAGTAGTAATGTATTTTAATGGTTAACAAACAAGATGCTTGGTCTTCCCTTGAAAATAAGAACTATAAAATCAAAGTTAAATTAATATTATTTAAAATAAGTTGTCTTTTTCACTGATTTAAAAATATAAATGCTGTCTTTACTAGACAAAGCATTTCTGCTAATTCTACGTGGATATATATTCCAGAAAAAGTGACATGAAAAAGCAGTATGTTATGTATGTCCCTGGGAGAGATCTTCCATTTTCTTCCGAGTAGTATAGGTTAATTTTCCTATAAATAAAAGTGTATACTTACCATTTGTAACAGGAGAAAGTTGTTTTTAAAGTGCCTGGCTATTACAATGTAGAAAGTGACCAATTACTTTCGCTATATGTACCAACGAGTAACTTACACTAAACAGTAAAAAGCAGAAGTTAGATTAGAATAAAAGAGTACAGTCCTTAAAAATATGTATCTTAATTTTTTATTTTTGATATTATCTTTCTTCCATCTCTTAATTTCTCCCGTTTTTCCTCTTCCTCCAAAATCTCTGTGTGCTTTTTGCATACGTGTGTGTGATTTGTGTAATTGTGCTGAGGATTTTCATGTTCAAATGAACCCGGAGAGCAGGATTCTGTGTGCAGAGTGAAGCGTACTGTCTCCTCCTCTAACTTGCTGCCGACGGCAGTCGGTCCTTCGTCAGGGCAAGGAGAATCGTTCCGTGGTTTAGCGTTTGAGGGCTGATCTGACAACCCAGATTGCCAACAGGTAGGAAATTCAGTAGTGGTTTGTGAGTGTTCCAGTATTTGCTTCGTATGGGGGTCTAGGTACGTCATACAGTCTTCTCTTCCGTGGCATTCCTTGTCGTGCCTGCTGGCTGAGAGGAGAGGGTTACCGGTATGTCCTGGGCTCCCGGTAGTGTCACAGCGGCGTCAGGATGTTCTGTTGAGGGACGTTTCAGGTGCGTCTTTACTCCGCTGGCTGTTAAGGCTTAAGTTCATCCCTTGCGATAGTCACGAAAGGTAATGGCACTGAAACAATGACAGTCTTCCTTTCGGGAACAGTGAGCATTCTGTAGGTGCCTTCAGTTATATTTTGAGATTTCAGGGCAAGAGAAAGAACCTGGTCAGACTTGGCAGCCGGAGAAACTGTCTAAAAAATTTTCATCCGGTGTATCAGAACAAGTCTAACTTACTAAATGTTCTGTGTTAGTGCAATCCTGAAGTAAGATACTCCTGTGCTTATAGGGGACATCTTCCTGCTCAAAGACTGGACAGGTCAAAAGGTAGACTGCTGTAGGAGAAAATCTCAGCAGGTTTTTGTGCTCTTTTCTTATACTGTTCTCCATTTTAAATAGTCCTGTCCCTCTGAGGTCAGAAAGTCATGTAGTCTGGGAATTTCACTTGAAAATTCCTTTGAGGCAGAGCTGATCCTTTGTAATTCGTGTGGTTTGCATCACATTTCATCCGAAGTTCTAGGCTATAAATTATCACAGTCTGTCACGTGTGGCTAAGCGCATGGAGGTGAAGTTGGTCCAGGTGGTGTCAAGATACTAGATTAGGTTCAGTATTGGAAAAGCTGAGGGATAAGCTCAACACTGAGTATTTGGGAAAAAGATCACAGCTGACATGGCAACTGCTGGAGTCCGCTGTGCTGTGAGCTTCAGTCGTGCACTCCTGTGTTGTGGGACAGGTAGCCAGACTTGTGGAGAAAAATGAGGAAGGTAGGAGCCTGAAAAATTCCTTCTGTAAGTTTCCAAAAGCAAACTCCAGCACATCTGTTATATTTTACATACTCAACTTGTTACCCTCATTGATTATGTCATGTCAGGCAGCGACATATGGTGGGGTCAAGTAAAATGGAGAAGGTTTTATAAAAACTAAGGGGAAAGGTAATAAATAATATATATTTTAGATTAAATGATTACTAATATCTGATTTCCAAGGAGCTAGCTGGAATATCTGGCTTCCACTTGAAGCTTGTTTACCCAGCAGGATAGGCATTTTTTTACTAGCTAGGGACAGGGAGGGAAAGTCCTCTGTAGAAATAATGCATCTAAAAGTTTAAAAATGGGTCTGTTTCAGTGGGCTGTCTCGGTTTTTCTCAAAGAGGAGACATGACAATTTACGACAATGATAGGTTGGGGGAGGGTGTTATTTATTTTTATTATTTTAAGGTTTTGATTATCAATGCAAGCGACATTTTTACTGTCTCCTGAAATAAAATCTTAGTCTGGCTGATTGAGTTACAGATGGTATCCAGATGATTGTGGGACAGGTCCTGTTCTAAGAGTAAGCGAATTATAGATACAACCTCAAGTGTGATAAAGGCCCGAGGCCAACGCTTGGGGCCCAGGAGAGTAATTCAGGGAGACCCTGAAAGGGACAGCGGTGCAGGTAGCTTAGAAACAGCAAACTTTGTCAAAGCAGTTGTGAATTGTGACAAAGTTGTGTTCCCACCGATGCAATCCTTTTCACCCCAAATCACACACAATCTGTGCTTCCTGAAGTTTATTCTCACTATTAAGATGGTAAGCTCTTTGGGCTAGACGTGGTATTTGCGTCTTGTGCTTCTTCCAGCACAATGAACCTTCAGGCACTACTGAGTACAAATACTAATAAAAACTGTATTAAATGCATCAAGCTGTCTTCCATCCTGCATAAAATGTACTCCATTGCCTAATACCTGTCTCTGGGAATGTTCTTGCGAGTTGTGTTGGACTGCACAAGCAATCATCTAGTCAGGAAAAGAGGGGTTGATAAGCTACTCAGAGTGTGTTTTTTGATTCAGAGTACTTGAGAATGATGTATAAATGTAATTGTTTTTCTGTTATGTTCTCAGCAGTGTTTTAAAAGGTTATAAATCAAATATCACTGTGGGAAAAACTGCTGATTGGAGTGTTACAACAGTTCTGCACGTATTTAAAAAAAGAACATAATTTCTGAAGAAAGAGGAATATTGATGCATGTTTCAGTACCTGATTATTCTCAATTTCCCCACAGATATCAATGAGTGTCAGTTACAGGGAGTATGTCCGAATGGTGAGTGCCTGAATACCATGGGCAGCTACAGATGTACCTGCAAAATAGGATTCGTGCCAGATCCTACCCTCTCAAGATGCATTCGTAAGTAATAAGGCTAATCAAAGTACCAAAGCAGATACTTGGTTGCCCTTTAGATGAGGATTTGCTTGACTGGCCCCAACTCTTTTAAACTGTTCCCATCTTTGTTGCTGTCCCTGCCTCCTCTTCCCAGATTATTCACTTTATCTGGTTGGTCTCAGTGCTCATGCCTCTTCTTTTCTGTCTCTTCGTCCTGGAAGCCTTGGTCTCCACCAGTGGCTGTCCAGGATCCTTGCCATCTTTTCCTGCTTGTCTTATCGCAAAACCTTCAGCCTCCTTGTACACTCAGTCTTTCTCATCAGCCTGGAGTTCTCTTTCTCACAATTTTTTTCCCCTTTCTGCTAGTTCCCCAGCCGAAATCATCTTTGTGTCCTGCCCGCCCCTCTTCCACCTCTGCAGCCGTGACCTGGGGAGTTTCCATTAATAAACAGTCAGCCCGGGATGATCTTTGGCACATTGTCCTTCTGATTAAGAAGGATTAAAAATTAAGAAAGAATTAGGAGAAAGAAAAAGTTGTGAACAGCATGAATGCAAATGTTTTCCTCTGTTAACAGCTTTTTCTTGGTTTGAGATCAACTACCTCTGCAAGAAGGAAAGAAGGAATAGAGAACAATTAAATTTCTCACTTTCAGTTTTCTGGGAAGAATATTTACAAGTGAAAGATACCTCACTTCCTAAACTCCTTGTCTAAGCTATCTTTAGATTTATAAAATAAAGTCTGGAGCCATAGGTGAATTCTTTCATTTTTTCATTGTGGTTATCTTATAGCACTAGTTAATGACACTCACTTACTGAGAAAGTTTTTCAGCATTTTGAAGAATTTCTTAATCGCTTTTTGGTTTAACACCAGAAAAAAAGGAGTTGGTTTTCATTTTTGTTTTTACATGTCATCTTGAAAATCAGATAGTCTTTGTGGTTTTTGAGTTAAGTGAGCACGTCACCCAGACCTGTTAGCTGTCTGTCAGTTAGAAAGGCGGATGGATCTTAGCTTCCCCTGACCTCGTACTAGTCATAGCTTGTGGCCTTGGGCTCCTCCACAGTAAAACTAAGCCTAAGAAAGCGTAAATGTATAACGGTCTCTTGTGTGAAAAAAGCATCACGTGTGATACTTACTCCTCCTGCAGGCTTATTGCATAGCCTGCTTACAGCTGAGTGTTCAGTGGCTCTGTAGCTTGACACAACTGTGTATTGCCAGGGACTGGCCTTAGTCTTCATCAGCTGGACTTGTGAACCAGGGAGAGAGCTGACTCTGGCTCTTGGTTGTGGCAGCACGGCAACTGCTGGTTATCATTGGTCTAGGATGAGTTGGAATTCAGGAGTGCAAAATAAGAATTTTCTTTTCTGTTGCAATTACGGCTTGAGCTAGGTGTTTGAACTAAAACTTCTGCGGAAGGTAGTGTGAATCTGTTTGACTGGGGTGGGAAATGTAGTGGTGTTCCTCTGGTTTGCTGTTCACGTGAGCGGTACCATCCTCTCTTCCACTTCCATTGCAGCCGATAGTCCTATAGTTGCTGAAGAGAAAGGACCCTGCTACCGGTTTGTTAGTGCAGCAAAGCAATGCATGCATCCTCTTTCTGTCCAGCTCAGCAAGCAGCTCTGCTGTTGCAGTGTGGGCAAAGCCTGGGGCCCACACTGTGAGAAGTGTCCGCTTCCAGGAACAGGTAAGAACTGCCCATTAAAAATACAAGCTCTCACCCCCACCCTATGTTTGTTAGGCATGCTTTAAAAAAAAAGCCAAGAATTAATTTTAAACAAGTGTCCATCAGTAAATTATGATAGCTGTCTACATGGTAGTTGAATAATCACATGTGTAGTAGATTTTTTCGTAGGGATTTGTGATTAAAACAAAGGAATTATGTTTGATATGTTGTGATAGAATTCCAGATTAATGATGTTTACCTTTCTAAATACGTCCTTGAACTTTGGTTTTCCATCACATGAAGATAAATTTATTGTACATTATATTCTGTCTGTAGATACAGGCAAATTAACCCAAAATCTAATTACTACTGTTCAGTTGTTAAAGGCACTGGTGAAAGGATGGCAGCCTTTGAGAATTAGGTTACAGACGACATGCATGGTCGTTTACAGTACAGTTAGAGAGATGTGTATGGGAGTACCTGTGCTTTCTAACCTTCCTTCGGACCTTTACCATCTGTTTTGAGGAATGTGCTAAGTATGATGTTGTCTTCTTAACAGTAAGCTAGTAGTTAAACATTTCGTGCCACCTTTCACTTAAACATTTCCTTACTTCATACATAAAGCTCACTTGCATTATCAGTGTTCTCTTGGCGTCCTGCTGGTTTTTAAATCTGTAAGGACTTGGAAAATACCAGCTCGGTTGGTCACCGCACTCGTTTAGGCTGCTCACAGATTAAGATACCAGCTGTTATAGGTACGGATCGCTGCTGTGCAGTGCCTTCTGTTCCCTGACGTTGCTTAAAACTCAAATGACCAAAGTTGGAGTCTCTAAAATCCAAATCAGTTTAATATTATTTTTTCTCCAAATGTATGTCCAAATTAATCTTTTTAAAAAGCATCATTGCTTATTGTAATATACACGATGTCCAGCCTAGTCAGTGTTTTAGCACAGGTCCTTGTGATGGTAATCCACTGTTCGTACTGAAGTCGCTGCTGCAGATGTCACTGTTAGGATACAGGTCATGTATTTCTCGGGGCTATTTTATAATGACTCAGATTTTCAGAACTAGCGAGCTGCTTTGGGAGATCCACAGCTAGCATCAGCGACACGATGAGAGCGGCAGATCCCTTACTTTTTTAAGGTGGGGTTATGGAAATGGAAGTGACCGACATTTTTGAGCATTTCAACGGATTTTTAAAGCCATTGTTTTCTGCATGACCACTGGGTTGCTAGAGCACTGATCAGGGTTTTAAAAGTCCAGTTCAGTTTCAGCTAAAAAATATTTCTGTGGCTTTTAATGGAGGAAAAGAATGTATTGTCATCAGATGTCTTGCAACTTAAACGCAGATGCTTTACATCTATGAGAGTATTGCACGAGGCTTTATGCCCAGTTATTTGTATTCTGGAGCAGAGAATGTATCTTTTTGTTAACTGCTCTCTAGTCATAAACAATAAATCACTGAATATTATGTGGGATTGGTTATTTTAGTGATTTTTCTTAATGAAAAGACTTCAGAGAGAAAATATGTGATTAGAAAATTTTTGTGAGCTGTGTGGGAAATGCTTTTCCCATTTCATGACATTTTTCGTGATTTAAAAACATGTTCCTTTCTATAACAGGTTAAATTCATAATCTTTCAGAGTTTTCTATGAAAAGTGTGTGAAAGTGGGATACTCCAGAATGGGGTAATGTATTTACTGCAGCATCCCATATTAATTTAAGAGGCATTGAATTAAAAAATCATGATCTCACTCCCTGATAGCTTTTAAAAATTTGTACAAAGTAGACCAGCTCCAAAAGAGAGACTGAGAGAGGCCAGCTTTGTACTCCCAGGTGTTGAGAGTACTTACCAGACTGTGGCAGAATAAAGCTTACATTTCTGCTATGTATTTGAGAGAATATGACCTGAAACAAGATTTCCTACATCCTGAGTAGGCACCTGAAGGACAGGCATCAAATTTTCTGTCTTCCTCCTTTGACCAGAATTCCCACCCTTGGTTAGGTGGTTTTGTGCAAGTTTTGATATTAGCATTTCCCAACAAAAAGTATTTAATCATTCTGAATCCACTCAATTTCATCAGTTTGACCCTTCATCTTTTCTGTTCCTAGGGCACCATCAGAACACAGTATGCAATTAATGCATACTGCAATTTAATGTATAATTTATTGAATTCATCTGTGGAGTACCTATGGCTAGTGTTTTGTGGTTTTATTTCAGATGCTAACTCATTCTAAAACCCTGGTGTGTTCAAAGCAGAATTTGTGAACTTAGCAATGCCCCACTCTGCACATCTCTTAAGGAGCTGTAAGAAATCACATCAGGCACATTTAGGAGTCTAAATCTTTGGTGTTTCACCCCAACGTAGCTTTACCTAGAGCAATGAGGACAATGAAGCACTGGCCCCTCAAGTCTCCTGAAAGGTCTCCCTGTCCGTGTCAGGAGCGTAGCTGTTACCTTTGGTGGGGAGGGAGGCTGACCTGCAGTTCTTTCTCATTCTGGTCTTCCACTAGGGCTGCAAAACCCCATGCTCATGTAGAGCAGCTGCAGGGATCAGAGCAGGTGCTGCTGCCTGACTTTCATTCCCTTTTTCTGTATCAGCGTTATAAATGAGATTATTTCCCCTCTCCTCCAGTGGTGATTGGGCTTTTTATGATCCCCATCTTGTTTTTATCCAGCCCACTGAGGTCAGTGGAAAGACTTATTCAATTCAGTGGAATTTGGAGCAGGGCTGGTATGAGACCTCTGATGTAGTCAAATGGAACCTGTGAATGAATGTTGTTACTGGTAGATATTCTTCAGCTCCTGTAGTACAGGGGTGGTAAGCTTTTTTCCTTTGGTTTCTGCAAAAAGAGAATGATAGAAATAGTGACCTTCATTCCTTATGCAATGCAGATGATGATGACAGTTTGCATATTTAAATTCATACTCAGAAAGGATATACTTTTTGAAGAGGATTAATAAAAAAAATTAACTTGATATAATGATAGATTAAACATAACTGAAGAATGGTAAACTGGAGGGGAGACCTTCTGGGAATAACAGCCAGAACATGCTTTTGGGAGAATGCTCAGTCGTACTAGCGTGCAATGCATGGCTTGTCTTTAAGGAGTTTTTTGTAAAAATGTGTATACAATATGAGATTAAACTTATTAGTGGTAGTCATTATATTTTCCACTATGTCAACGTATTGCGCTTTTAGACTCCTAAAAGGAATATTTTCCCATCCCAAATCTAGCTGCTTTTAAGGAAATCTGCCCTGGTGGAATGGGTTATACGGTTTCTGGCCCTCACAGAAACAAGCTATATCATCACCCTGCAGTTAGAGTACAGCCACCTGCCATTGGCAAGACCCCGATTACTCAACCTGTTGCTAAAGGTACTTCTCCTCCACCTCTCCCAGCAAAGGAAGAGCCAGTGGAGGCACTGACCTTCTCACAGAAAAGTGAGACTGAGATGGCTGTGCAAGAAGGTGAGCGTGGGAACGTTCAGTCTGTCTGTATTTCTGTGCGTGTGTCTTCAGCGGGCTGTCTGTTCCTCTGTGAGGGGCTGCGTGCAGGGCGGGACAGAGAGGAGTGGGGCGTGCTGCGGTGCAGGAGTCACGGCTGAGAGTTTGTGTGTGCCTCCTACCAGGTGCTGAGAACACCCCGGAGAGCGAGAGAGGGAGAGACTGCTTTGGTCTTACTTATTTCTGTGATGAGAAACAGTAAATGTTTGTTGTGAGGCTTTTATGGAGATATTTATAATCTCTGACATATCACAAGGGACTCAGGCTTTGATTTACTGGTATGTGGGGTGGCAGAAGCTGCGGGGTTTTCATCGCTTCCCCCTACACACGCCTGTAGTTGAGCACCACCTGATGCGGGCCTGTGGGCTGCTCTCGCCCTGCAGCTGGGCGCTCCCTTGGCGCGACCCTGTTGGATCAGCCCCTCTCTGGTGGGCTCTTTGGTGAGGAGTTGACTCCTCTGGGATGTTCTTCTCAGGCTTTGTTTGCTGCAAGCACCTCTAGAACTTGCAGCAGCTGAAGTTGTCCTGAGTCTAGAACAAGTGCAGAAGCAAAGAAACACGGAAAGCAGCACTATTATAAAGACATGGCTGAAGAACCAACCCTCTCAGGATGTTGAGTACTTAGTAGGTTATTTCCAAGCAGCAGTTACGTATTTGAGTATCGGGCCATTACTAGAAAGAGTTTCAGTCAGCTGACCACAAAATTATGTGCGACGTGGGTCACTTTGCAGTTCGAATCACTGCTCTAGCTTTGCTTTCAAAAAGAAAATGGAACTAAATTGAATCCAGAGAGAAAAATAAGCATTCTCCCAGTTCTGATAATCAGCCTCACCACTAATACTGAAGAAACTAGAGCAAGAAGAGTTGGTGGGGTTTTTTAAATCTATCCTGTGGAAAATGTGGACTGTGAAAAGAAAAATATTCTTTAAACTTTTTACAGAAGCATACAGATTTTCATCAGAAAAAGGAAAACTGCAATGGGAAGTAAAAACTTCTATGAGTTTTCTCTTTCCCAGAAAAAAGTCACTTTTGTGGAGGAAAAAAAACCCAGACACTTTTACTTGCTTAAAGAAAAGGCAAATTTCAATTTTTTTAACAATAAATTCCTGCAAATTTGTTAATGGTTAGTTATATATCATTATGATATTAATTTACATTTAAAATAATTACAGATGTTGATATTCCTTGGAAGGAATTTTGAAAGTTTGATCAGTGAGGTAATAACCTGTGAGTTTCTTGGATTGTTTGTAAGGGAACAGTTAAACAACTGAGAAAACAGTAAGGCAGGTGAATACTGACCAAATAACACAAGCGTTGGTCAGCATGTAGAATCTTACTCTGGTTTCAGGTTAGTTTTTACGCTTACTTCAGGCGTGTTACTTCAAGTTTGCACCGATCGGGAATGACTGTAGAGCCTGACGTTTTTCTGCAATGGCAACAGCCACTTCGGAAGTGCTCGTAGTTTTAAATAGAATGTGTGAGTAAATGGTGCATGAAGACTGATTAATTTTCTTTTTTTCTTTCTGGTTTTAGTGGCAACTGCAGCCCCTGATCAGGTAAAACATGCTGGGATTTACCTGGGAGTTAGAACGCAGAGCACGCGTACGAGGTGTGACATGCTGACTCTGAAAAGGATTTAGGATTTATTGGGAGCAGACAGCTCACTGTGGACTTACAGTGCAAACCCTGAGGCAGAAAGAGCTTATGTTATTATTATACACAACCACAAGCAGGTAGTGAGGCCCAGGAAGGAGATGACTTTAACCTTTCTTTAGGGCATTGCTGGAGGGTGTAGTACTACCTTGTTCGATCCCATCCTGGAGCTTGTATTTGAAAGAGGACATTGAAAAATGCAGACAGCATGAAAGAGAGACACAGATACTGACAGCTAGAGAAAATTGATTGGAGAGAAACAGTATGAAGCTTTGAGAAGCATTTGTGACACCCGCTTAAGGGACTCGTATGAATGCCTCAGTTAGTTTCCTAGGGTTTTCAGGGCTGCTGTGTATTCAGTGGAGAAAGAGCAGGTACGTATCGATGTTAAGTCCCCCATTCTGGAGGTTCCACGTTCTCTGTGCTAGGGTTCGTTAGGAGTAACCACAGCTGCACTTTGTTTCGTTTTCCTGAAGGCTTACAAGCATCTAACACTTCTGTGAAAGTAAGATCATCAGTGCAATAGCCAAGAGAACCTTTCACAGTGATCAAAGACTTAGAGACGTATGTGATTGTGTACTCTGGTGTGATGCTGAACTGCAATTAAGTTCTCTTTGTAAGCAGTTAAAGACTAGAGTGTGGGAGAACTGTGAAGGGGCAACGCCAAAGATACCATTAGAAGCTCCATGAAATGGCTGCTTCAAATAAAATCAATGTTAAATAGTATGCCGTTGTGTAAACATAGCATTCCATGCTCTTTCAGGCTTAAATTGGTGGTAATTAATGATCTGCTATCAAAAGCCACTCGTGTGAGAACGTTAGCAGTTTCTCAGCTGGGAGTTTGGGGGTTGTTATGATAGCTGGATTAAGAGAATGTTTTCAGAATGTAGATTTTCAATCATTCTTTTAGGAATTAGCCTCCCTTGATCAAGAAAAGCAGCCTGATCTAGAGCCTGGTCAGCCTCAGCTTTCTCCTGGAATTTCAACAATTAACCTGCATCCACAGTTTCCAGGTAACTTGTTTTGGCTTGTCTTTTAGTCTGAGAGGGTGCTTACAGTTCTTCGAGGAAAGGGAAGGCTGCAGTTGTGACAGAGGTTAATGAAAAGTTGATGGCAGCTTTTCCATGAGCAGAATATGGAAGAAAATAAAAACACATGGAAGCTGGAGTGGGAGGAGTTGAGAGGTTGGCACTGGCTGGGTGACTTGTTAGGAGGCAAAGACATATTTTAGGCAAAAGTGATATCCTGGATTACATACATGAGAATTCCAGTGTCAGCAGAGTTGAGGCCTTGGACACCTTGCAAAAGGAAACTTTACTTAGGTGCCTTCGTGTACATTCATGCATAACTTTTACTGCAAAAGTTTTACTATTGTTCTCGCTTTCTTTAGCACCTCAGAGTTTTACACAAGCAGTAGAATGATGGAAACCCCAATTACACTATTTCTTCTACTCCAGATCTAAGCAGAATAAAATATTGAAGAGCTCCATAGTCTCTGGCTTATCCAGCATCATGTGTGAATTCTGTAAGAGGGTTTTTTGAATGCTTTAAGGGTTTTTTATTGGATGTGATTGATTTCCATTCCATGTCACACAGTAGTGATTGAGAAAACATCTCCTCCTCTGCCTGTTGAAGTTGCTCCTGAAGTCTCTACTTCGAGTGCAAGTCAAGTAATTGCACCTACTCAAGTTACAGGTATTGTACTTGCTTTTTAGACCTAATTAACTAAATTAAGAAATGACTGTGAGTTCCTCATGCTATAACTTGTCCCATGCTACTTCTGAATTATAATAGCAAAGAGGATGTAGCTGTAGAAGAGAAGGGAATACTCTGAGGAGAGATGGAAAGTACAGAACAGCACAGCAACGAGTACTGTCAGCAGAGCCAGGACTGAGCCCTCCCAGGATGTACTTGCCATTTTCGTGCCCACAAAGAAATGATAGAAGGAAAAGTTAATAACTCCACCTCAGATTACACAATCTGCAGCCCAAATCCAGAACTGGATACAAGTCAGATGTTCAGACAGTCTGCACGTGTGTTGATGAAGTATATGTGATCGTGTTCTTTGAGGGACGTAGACTTTGTGGGATACAGATCAGCATGTCCTGCAAAAGGCAGAAGAGGAGTTACTGTAAGATCTGTTTCGATGTTTGTGCTCCTTCCTTGTTTGACGTTTTAAAGTTGGCTTTTCTACATCCAGTGAAAAGACCAGAAATGCAAGTACTGCTCCTGTCATAGCTGACACTGGTCTAAGTGATGGCTGTGTGCAGAAGGCATGAAAGTTTCACTTGCTGTCCATTTGAAAACAGAAAGGTGAAGGTACTTTGTGTGTATGCGTGAGAATTGCGTCACGCTGGCCGGTCTCTCAGGATTAGCACAGGGTTTGAAGTAACTGCAATATCCAGGTAAATGCTTTAAGAGGCAAGTATTGTGTATGGTGGAGGTCTCTAGGCCTACCGAGAGGTTTCCCAGTTTGCGTTCACAGGGAGAAATTGCACGTGCTTTAATAAAAGTCTGACTCTTCAAAGACAGCTTTCCTTCGTGCAGGAGTGGATTTTTGAGTTGCACACGACAGGCACAGGGTCTGAATCCCCCAGTTACTTGAAGTACGATTCTGTCTGCAGGTAAATCCTCGTGAATCTAGAGAAAGTGTCCTGTCCTGTAGGTGTTCAGCTGCCCCCGTCAGTTCCCTGTAGTGACAGCTTGTCACGCCCACGTGGAAGTTCTACTAATGGTGGTTGTCAAACCAGAGCCTGGAAGTCAGCCGTGCTGTGACTGTGCCCCCCGCCGTCCTTACAGGGCTAGAGGAGGTTATCCTGCTGGGAACTCGCATCAGTTAGGAAAAAAAATGCTGGTTTTCAATGTTCTGGTGGTTTTTTCTTTCCTCGGGAAAAGGAGTGGAACTAGAAATTGCTGTGTGCTATGAACAAGTAAATCAATCTGTTGTTCAGATAGAGTTCCAAGTGTTGTTCAGATATTTAAGAGGTAGTAGAGTACAAATGAAGCAGGATTTGTAGAACAAAATCCTAAATTGAATTGAAAAAACTGAATGCAGTTAGAGTTGAGACGTTTGAGTGCCTTAATTCTGTACTTCTGAGATTTAATTAAATTTAAACGTAATCTATTTCTAAACAGCCTGGATAAATGATTCCTCTTCACAGATGATAACTTCTTTTTCAGGAATTACACTTTCATGCTGCTGTGTTACCTTAGTTTAAATTGCAACTAAACAGAGTAATTAGTATTTTTTGCGGTAACACATGCCCTTTGAGAATTTCTACAACTACTGTCAGGGTTTAGCACCCAGTGCTGTCCATATCCGAATCTCTTATCTTCCAAAATATATCAAAGCCATTAACAGATGAGTATTCTGTAAAAATAATCAGAAACCCACTACAGTTACTTTCTTATCCTTCAATGCAAAGGTTAAATTGTATCAAATTTTATTCTATATTACTTTCATTTTACTTTATTTTTTATGTGCCCTTCATAGGTCTTGGGTGGGAGATGAGAATATGTCGCTAGGAAAAGCCTAGATGGTTTCTAGATTCTTCCAGATCAGGTATCCGCTACAGAAACTCAGGACTTAGAAGCTTGATTTACAGTCGTTTTCAGGCCTGATCTTTCTCCTTGGATTACAGAATACTGTGTGCTTACCGAACTGGGGGGGAGAGTTTAACCTTAAACTTCTTTTTGTTTGCTTAGAAATCAACGAATGTACAGTTAATCCTGATATCTGTGGAGCAGGACACTGTGTTAATTTGCCGGTGGGATACACTTGCATCTGCTACGAGGGGTACAGACTCAACGATCAGCAGACAAAGTGCTCTGGTAGGAGCGGCCGCTTTCCAAACTCCGAAATAACCTTGCTATGAAATGCTTGACGTGTAGCGTCTGGTCAGGGAAGTGTGCTGCAGAGCCGTCAGGAGCTGCTTCCTCTGCTGAATGCTTCCCAGCGACACAGAAACTAGTTTTTGTCTGTCCAGTAGAATTTGCCAGCTAGTCTCTGATACAGCCCTCCAGCCGCTCAGAACTGAACGTGAAGTTAATTAAGTTCTCTCACTGTGACATGAGAGAAAAAGCAAGTCGAGAGACCATCTCTTCTCAGCTTTGTATCAGGTATCTAAAATGGTCAGACTGCTAGGAAAAAGTACACTTGTGTTTGGAGAAAGAATGACTGAGTTAGTGCCCATTTCTCTGAATGATTTACCCAGCTGCCAGCTTTGCGGCTGGACTAAATCCAGTCATTTTGTTGGGTCTTTCCTTTCAGCCTTCTGCTGAAAGGAGACAGTATATTGTAAACATCCCAGAAGCGCATTAGGAGATCTGCAGAGCGAGGTCATCATCCCCTTCTACACTAGTAAGTTCTGGAACAGCGGGCTCTGATGAATGTGAGGCAGAGCCCAGACTGGCTCAGCACGAGCCGTTGCAGATTTGGAAGCAGCTGTATCTGTATCTTTCCTTCATTCAGAGTTTATCTCATGCTGCCAGATTATGTACTATCAACCTTTCACGCTACCAGAAATTCAGTAAATTCATATTTATACACATGCTCTCAGGTGCAACTATGGCATTAAAAAACAATTTACACACGTACGCAGCCAAATGGCAACTGAAAGTCCTTCTGTTTCATCCAAATTGTGTTGATGTTCCGTGCTCACAGCTTGTGCTCGGCTTGTGCTCAGTGTAGTGATTTGAATAGCAATCATGTCACATTCTTCAGGTCAATGCAATATTCTTATCATCTAAGCCAATATGAGCATTTTTTTCCAACCAAAACTATTTAATGGATCTTTTTTGCAGCTCTGAGGGAGAGGAAAACCTACTTTTTCAAATACTTAAAATAATTACAAGATCAGTCTTTTCAAAAGCATGACATAGAATGCACAGAAGGAATCGCATCTAAATATGTTATTCTATAGTCTTACATTTTTGTTTCTTTTGTAGATATTGATGAGTGTAATCAGGCACCCCATCTCTGTTCCCTTGGACGCTGTGAAAATACAGAAGGAAGTTTCCTGTGTATTTGCCAAGCTGGATTCATGGCCAGTGAAGATGGAACCGACTGTGTTGGTAATTACTGGTCTCCTTTATAGAAAATAAAAATATAAAAAGGGATCAAGAAGCTTATCTAAAACCCCCTAAAGTCCCCTTTTCGGCTTTTTTTCTCATTGTCATTGGTACTGAACTGATGTCACTGTTTGTGACCAGGTATTGTGGTGAGGAAAATATTTGAGTAGCTCGTACTACTTTTCAAAATGATTATTTGTTGAAAACCAAGACTTTATTCAGTATCACGTTCGTTTAGGAAAATTACCATTTAGTAAAAACACCTCTGTGGTGGAAAATACAAATATCCCAAACTCCTTCAATCGTTACAGCTGTGACAAACCCTATTGTAAAATACAGCTGCGAACAGACATGGGCTTGGCAGAGCAGTACAGACAGCCTGAGCTGCTCGTGATCTCCCTGAGCTTGGCGCTGCCTTGGGCAGAACATACGGGCAGTGACACACATTGTGTCTGCCACCCCGGGGCTGTCACTGGCCGCCTTCCGACAGCCTGCGTGTTTGTAGGGCTCGTTCTCTCTGTGGTTACAAGCAGTGAGATAAAGATGGAGCAGCTCAGCAAGAACAGCTGTAGCTTGCAAACAGCTTCAAAAATCCAAACTTACTTATTTGTGTTTAATTAAAGCAGAGTTTAGAGGAGATGCAAGCAATCAGTAATTTCAATGGTGAAGCAAAGTTTCTCTTAACTTCCTTTTTCACCTGCAGATTTTGATGAATGTTCAAGACCACATACTTGTGGGGAAGGCTTTTGTGTAAATACTGTTGGCTCATACAGATGTGAATATTGTGACAGTGGATACCAAATGAACAGGAGAGGTGAATGTGAAGGTAGGTTTGGACTCTTCACCAGCAGTAATACAGTGACAGCTGCCAAGGCAAACAACTGCAATAGGATGAGCCATTGGTTTGTACTGTCTGCTGTTCCTGATCTCAACAGAAAACTTTACGTCCATTTCTTTATTTTTGAAGAAATCTGGCTGTTAGATGGAAATATAAAAGTAACTCAACATGACTTTTTTTTCGTGTTTAACAATATTTTCATACCTGGTATATTTATTTTAATTGCTTTCAATCTCCATCTGCTGTTTGATTGCAGATGGAATGTCTTGGCACAGTGGTTTTGTGTCTAAGTGTGTTCAGAGTTGCCATTCCCCATCCTGCTCTGTGCGTATTTCCACGGGTACTTTCTCTTAGCTTAGTCTCACTGCTTCATTTCTCTTACAGCTACTTTTTTCGTTTAATTTGCCTTCAGATCATTTCACTTCCCCCCATACACCAGCTGAAAACAGCAGAATGTTTGTTCAAAAGGACGTTGCTTGATTTATCTGCAGTACGTCCTGGGTGCTGCCGTGGAGTTACCGTCCATTCGAGGCACAAAAGCGGTGCCAAATGTTGCCGCTGTTTGGAGTGATTCACCTTGCTTGCCTTTCGAGGGAGGCTTAGCACTAGGGCTTGAGCTGCAAAGGGAGAATTCTCAAGGGGCGCAGGCTTAAACAAGAAACCTTTCTGAGCACTCTCCAGTCTTTTCCATTATTTGGTGTCTGGAACTGCAATTCACTTCCTGTTGTTTAGATTTGAGATGTGCTGCAAAGGAGTTCCCCAGCTACAGACAGAACCATCTCAGGACAGCTATTTTAACAGCTCTTGCCATCTCTTAAGTTCATTGTTAGTCCTTCCCTGCATTCTTTATCAGTTTTCTGTTTAAAAAAAAAAATCTATCATTTTTTCTGTAACAGGTAGCAAAGGATAAGTTGACTTTTTTGACTTTGGAAACATATACCTAGCAGGTATTTCATGTTGCAGGAGATCCCAGGACATCTCACCTTCAAAACTTCACGTTGGATCACAGTGGATATTTTTGCTTTTTTTGCTGTTTGTTTTTTTTTTTTCATTTTCAACTTGAATTCTGAACTAAAAAGCACAAGCAGCCATTTCATTTTAAACATAGTTTTGTTCGTGCTTTAGTCTGTTACTTGGGACAGAGTAAGATTGCTGACTTGTTAGGTTGCCTGGCAAATAAGTGACTTGAAGCTGCTGTGGATATATTTGCTGCTCTGAGCACTGCTAAAAGATTCTTCTTTCTATTCAGACATTTTATTTTTATTTAAATAAATGTTTCACACAATCCACTTGTACAACTACTTTTTCCAACTCTTCTCTGTCAGTAGGGAGTCTGAGATTAAAATAGGCCAGAAATCAGAATATCGCAGTGCGTCAGATTTCTTATTAGCTTGTATCTGAAGTAGCGTGGTGGTGGTAGTCCCCTGTCATTCAACTTAACAATATGTAATTTCTCAAACTAAATTCTCTGTTGAAAGTTATTTAAGGTTGCTTAAGGGAAAAACCCTCCTACACTAAATCCATCAAACCAAGGAAATGACACATTTGGAGAATCATTTCACCATGTCATTACACCTACACGTTATAGTCACCCTCCTGACAGATTCCAGATGCCACAAATAACTCCTTTCCACCTCCTCCGCACTTCAGAACAAAGGCAGGCGTCCTCCAGGCTGCACACGATAACACGCTTCACTCGCGCTTCCTCACCCCACCTTCGTTCTGCCTTTAGGTCGTGGTGACGCAGGCTCGGCCGTGGGCCCAGCCTGGGGAACACGAGGAGTGCGTGTGTGGTGGTGGTGTAGAGCCCGTGGTTTGTGTAGGACAGTCCCAGCATAGCTGAACATCACTGCGAACGTCTTTAAACTTCGCAGCATTTAGGCTTTGTTTTGACTGCAAATTTCTGTGCCAAATACATCGTTCATGTTGTGTGTTTTGAGGGCAGATACAGGCCGGGCAGTTCTGAGAACAGGGTTCAGTAGAAGTGGATTTTTTTGTTAATTAAATAAAAAAATCTCGCAGCAGTTTCACTGAGAAATGTTTGCAGGTCTGCATTTTAGCAGCTGAAAAGTCTGGTTGCTCTTTTTAGGAGAAAGTATTCTCAGCTGGACAGTCAGGATTCTATGAAAAACTGTGATTTGCCCGGACCCAGGGAGCTGTCTGGAGCCTGCGACGTTCAGGTCTCTGAAGGTCGGAGCATTGTCCAATTAAATTCCAAGTGCTGGAGACGGCTTTTCTTCTGTGAGCTTGTTCCCAAAGCTAGGAGTAAATTGCCTCCCTGCTGTCTGTGCTGGAGTAGCAGTCCTTAGCTGCACAAGACCCGACAGCTAGGCTCAGGGCAGGGAAGGGACAGGAGCGTAGGAAGCTGAGTTGAGAGATGACTTTGGTTTGATTCGTTCTCTGCACTGCATGAATCAAGTATTCGGTAGGAAAGGTAATCATTTGGTAATTAAAGGCCATATTAGAAAATGATACTCAAGCCTGGGAGCGGACTGGAACGAGGGTGCCCACACAGTTTTAGTTCCAGCATCTTCTGATCTTCAGTCACTTGACAGCAACTCGTGTTTGAATGTCACTTCTGCGTGCAGCCTCTTTTACACCGCATGTGCTGCATGTATTGTGGGGTTCTGTGGTGCGGGATGCATTCTCAGGAGGTGCTCAGAGCCTGGACGTGACATGAGTTTTTCAGGACTGATCTCTTGTTCTGTTGTGGGTAAACAAGGGCCTCCCCTGATGCAACAAGTCCCTCTGTCACCCTAAACACTGCCAGCCTCAGTGATGTCCGTGTTGCTTCTTGTGCCTTCTTTCAGATGTGGTCGGCTCCCTTCTCCCCGTAAACACCTTTGGTTACCATTCACACAATTAAATTTGTAGTCCATGTAATACTTCCATGCTGCACGACTGCAGGACACTGGAGAGTACCGAATTTCTCTTGCTCTGAGAAGCCAGAGTTACAAGTTTGTTGTTGTTGCAATGCACTTCCAAAGTCTCTTGAGAGTGACTAGGAAGAACCTCAGGACACCTCAGTATGGTAAAGGGGTGATATAAGCCAAGTTATTCTCACCTGTCTGAGCCAGGAGTCTGATGTGCTGTATGTTTGGAGGGCCTACCAGAGCACCGCAGTGTAACAGAAAGCCAGATTCAGTTGCACGTACGGTGATCTCATTCCTTTCCCAGAGGTGCCCCTGCACTGGTACGAACCTGTGCAGACTTGTGCCTTCCTGGGTCTCTAACAGGTCACGTACACAACTCTACGTGTATTGGTGTGAGGTGAGCACAGTCAGAATAACCAGACAGTTTACTGTTCAGTGTTCTCCTGTGGCTTTGACCTGTACTTTCTTCTGTCTTCTCTTTGGAAGACGTCAATGAATGCCTGACTCCAACTACTTGTCCGGACGCGCAGTGCATCAATGCTCCTGGCTCCTACCAGTGCGTTCCTTGCAGAGTGGGATTCAGAGGCTGGAATGGACAGTGCCACGGTAGGTGCAGTTCTCTTTGTGTCTCTAGTTATAGTTCTTGTTCTGAGATGCCGTGTTTCCGTCTGGCGACAGCACTGTGCCCTGGATCCCCATTCCATTCAGTAATAATTGAAAATACAAGATTTTGGAAACTACTTTAAGTTCTCAGACACAGGATATATGAGGAAATCAGGCTTGATTTCTATACCTGTTCATGAAAATAGTGTGATTGAAAACGCTATGGCATAACTTTCGCTTGTTTCATTCTTGCCAACCAGGTTAATGGGAGCAGAGCGAGAGGAAAGGAGTGGCTGCTCTGCTCAGACTTAGAAACAGAACTGAGTCAAGTAAGGGATAAGTCTTGGTTCCAAGTTGCTGATACTTTTTCTACTCCTATTACTGCGTGTATTTTCCCTTTTTCCTTTGTTTTATGAAAAGTTCTAAGCCTAGACGTCTCACTCACATCGTTAGCGATGTGATCAGTCTTCATTTTCTGTTTACCCTAGACTTACATCATGTTGGACACGAGCCACGCACATGCTAGAAAACGTAATGCAGGCGTTTATCTTAAAGCTGCAGCTTTGCAGTGTGGTACCATTGAAATACCCGGGAAAGGAAAGGGGAAAGGGAAAAGGGAAATTTCCCAAGTTACCTATGAAGGGTGTTTAAGTCCATTGTTCCACGAACTCATTTGTTTCTCCTGTTAGTTTAGGGCAGCCACAGCTCTGCTGGTTTTCCCCAGTGCTGTTTTCAGTATTTGTTTTTAACCTCGCCTCCTTCCTCTGCCTGCACTTCATGCCCTGGAAGGCCTAGTGTGACAGTTGTACGGATCTTTGGTGCTGTTGATACCACAGCCTCCAGGATTTAAAGCCGGGAGTGTAGCCACTTGTCTGTAATAAAGGCAAGTCAATGAGTTCACATCAAACTTTCGTAGAATACATTTAATTGCCGTTGAGGTGGGAATATCTAATGTGAGGTGCATATCGGAAGAAATGAAAAATGGTACCTGTACCCACTGCCTCCTCCTTGCCTTGGAAGTGTTGCTGTCCCCGGTCCCTCGATGTGTTTGTGTCATACAGGGACTAGCTGAAATAATTCTTCTTGAAGTTTACTTGCAATCACTGATGGATTTATTTTTTTATCTTTCTCTCTCCACGTTTGCATGTTTAAATAAAGTGATATATCACGATGGAAATGGCAATAAAGTAGTATGTGAATCTGGAGCACAATTCTGTATGTTGATGAATAAGTGAAAAAAAATTCCTAGACTGTTTCATCCTCATGGTTGTGTAACTGTGGTGGATTTTGCAGCTCTGTGGGTAACTAACAATATGCAGCTTGTGCAGCATTAGAGACCCCATCAGATGATTTCAAAACTGATACAGAGGTCAGCAGAGCTGATCCATGTACCTCTAGTCCTACTGTAGGGAGCGTCAGTAGGATCAAGTACAGCCCTGGACTTCAGCTCAGAAGATTTAGGCTCTGTTCCTGGCTTTTCTGCTGGCTTTATGGGAAAATCTCTTGATCTCCGAGTCCCATCCGAAAATTAGAAATAATATTGCAAGCTTTGTTTTCCAAGGAGCTTGGAGAGAAGTAGATGAAAATGAATCTGTAAGATGCAGGCATGTTATTCAGTTGGAAAGTCGCATGCCTGACTGCTGAATTGGGTTCTCTGTGCTTTAACACCTTCTTGAACTAGAGCATGGATCGTGCACGTTGAGAGCAAACGTCGTGTTTTGTTGAGCGAGCACGTTTTGCAGCAGTAGGGGTCTGAGAAACTAGTCTCGCAGAAGGGTGTAAGTGGTATGACCTCCTGACCAGCCATAGCAGAGCCCCTGTGGGCCCGTGCTGTCACCTCCCCAGAGGATGCCACTTGGCGTTCCTGGCCAGGCTGGAACAGGGCACCGTGTGCACAGAGTTAGAGGCTCAAGGGAGGAAACGAGAGTCGTAGGTCATGGGAAATACGGCAATAATGGTGATTTCGTTTGTGTCTAGGGAGGGATGAGCTTTGTCAAAGTCAGATTGCACCCGAGCTTGTGAAGAGCCATGAATGATAAACATATATGAGGAGAATAGTTCCTGCAGATACTCCCAATAGCTAATAAAAGCTGTGAGGATGATTTAAAGACCTCTAATCTTTTTCCAGCTCTCCCTGTGCTATAGCTGCCTAAATAGCTCAAGTGCCTCAAATAATCAGTAGTTTTACTCTTTTATGTTGATGGATTTTGTGTGCTTTGTGGTGGCAGAAGACAGGATAATTGGGAGTAATATGATTTCTGGCACATAAAAGCAAGTAAGTGTAATTCTTTTTCTGCATCAGTGAAGCTAAAAAATACAGCTTTTTCTGTACAAACAGGGACACCTGCTTGCTGTTAACTACATCCCCAAAATAAATAAACAACATTTGAAAAGTAACCTTTTCTTTTTTTTAAGTGAAAACCACTCCTAGGAAAAAGACAATATTGATTATTGTAGAATACTGAATTAATTTGGCTGGGTTTATCACAAAAGGTGTTATTTATTTGTATGTTCGTTGATTTATACAAATTGCATTCAGAAGGAGTTTTGTGTTTCAAACCCTTTTTTGCATCAGAATTGCTGCGGAATTGGCAAGGTCAAAGTACACAGGAGAAGTGATTATAACCATGCCTATGGCAGAATTTGAACTAATTCCTGAGCTGAACTGAAAGGTGGTTGGACCCAGGTTAATTACAGGGTTATGCTTTCTTTGTATCCACAGATGTAGATGAATGTCAGTATGGCAATCTCTGCACTAATGGACGTTGTGAAAATACAGAGGGGTCTTTCAGATGTATTTGTGGCCAAGGTTTCAAACTCTCTGCATCAGAGGATCAGTGTGAAGGTAGGAAAGAATATGATTACAATTCATAAGGTTACACTTCCCTTTTAGACAATATTTTTCATCTACTATTGTTCCTTATAATGGACAAACAACAAATATACAACACTAACTAAAGAACAAAAAATGTAAGAATATGCATTTCCATTTTCGTACAATCATCAAGTTGGAAGAGACCTCTGAGACTGTCTAGTCCAACCGTTGGCCTAATGCCACCAGGCCCGCTAGACCATGTCCCGAAGCGCCACAGCTACACGTTTTTTGCACACCTCCAGGGATGGTGACTCCACCACCTCCCTGGGCGGCCTGGTCCAGTGTTTGACCACTCTTTTCCTCACGTCCAACCTAAACCTCCCCTGGTGCAACTTGAGGCCGTTTCCATTTTAGATTTTGACATTTGTTACAGAGCCAGTCACAAATGTGTAGCAATATTTATATTGCTAAATTGGAATTGCTGCAGAATCCTTGGTATTTCTGTCATTTTGGAGGTTTGGGGACAAAGGCTTTTGCTGCCTTAATTGCTTTTCTTTCTGTCTTTTTTTTTTTCCTTTCGTCTGGGTGAGTGAAACCAAAAAACCTAGTGCACCCTCTTGGAACCCAGCAGGGTCAGTTAACACTGAGTCGATGCCTTCGTTACTGTCACCCCATTTCAAGCAGTACATTAAGGAGAGAGAGTTTGGTGTTGTATTTCTAAGAACAGCACCTGTGCCACTGAAGGGGCAGGTTCTATATTTCTTCCACAGCTAAAATTCCTATCAGAACCGCTGAGAGAGAACTAGGTGTGTACAGGAGGTACGGCTGGCCCCTGTGCTGGGGAGAGGGGACATCTTGAAAGCTCTCCCCAGAGGTGAACATCTGGGAGAACGTCTCCAAGCTGTGGAAGGACAGAGAAACCTGAACGTTTCTCGTCAGACGTTGGGTTTTCTTCCCCCCACCCTTCCCGAAGCGTCTGTGTAAAGCACCAAACACTTTCAGACTTCTGCATGCTAAAAATAATGCAGGAAAACAAAAGGATCATTCATGTAAATTTGTCAGGAAGTTTGAAACCAAACATCAGTGTAAGCGAAGTGTCTTGAGTGAGTTAAATGGGCTGTCCAGGACACGCAGCAGACTGGTCTTGGGGAAAGTATGTAGACAAAGTTTGACTGCTTCCTCTGAGCCTTTCGTGGAAAAGGGCTCTTGCCAAGTGGAGCTGGCGTGTGCAGACTGTTCTTAAAGCGCACCCTTCCCGAGTGCGGACCCGTACACGTGCCCAGGTGCTTCACGCCGCCCCAACGGCTTCGGTGATCCTTAAATCCAAACCTTCTGTGGTTGCAAGGGGCCGTTACTCGAGAGGTCAGACCACACAGCCATCACACAGACCTGAAAAACCTCACCGAGGAACTTTCCCTGGTTTGAATCAGGGTGTCTTTTCGGAAGGACATTCGACCGTATCGATTTAGTTACTGTTCCTTAACGGGTACTTTGTAAGTAAGGGAGGGAAAACAGGCTTCCTAGCTCAAACAAGACGCGTGCTATCTTCTGTATTCGACATGCCACTCCCCTCTGGTATTCTGAGTTTTTTGTAGGAAAATGTAAGTTTGATGTTCGAGGCCATGTGTTAACCCCGGCTGACCCCAGTTCATGAGAACTGAAGCGCTGAGGGATTAGCAGTGGCTGTGGAAGCAGAGACATTTCCCTGTCCTTAAAGGATTAGTACTGTTCCAAGGCGAGTATTTAAAGGAGCCTTGAGGTACAGCTTAATAGGGGAACAGCCGGTCAGCGTGCCTCTGAAAAACCGCGCCCTGTTAAAAGGTGGTGATCCTGCTGGGAAGCACTTTGTGGGTTTTCCTGACTCGCTGGAGTGGCTGGCTTGTTCCCTTTGCCACATAGAAAGGAAACAAAAGCAGCTCTCCAGCGGCATGTGTGTGGATTTGTGTGTGTCTGTGCATTGAGGGACCTGTCGACAGTACAGGAGAGAGTGCCGAACGCAGTCATCTCAAGGGAAGCATCCGATCTGCCGTTCCTTATCTTCTGGTGCGTTATAGTGACTGTCTGCGGTCGTTAATTAATAAGACCAAGAGAAGCAGAACTGCACGTTGACACTCTGCTGTTTTGTTCGGAATTGGGTGTTGCACCATTTCGTCAGTAACTGGTATTTTCAGAGGCGTTACGTTTTCCTGTGTCTTCTGCTGCAGATGTAGATGAATGCCAGCAGCGGCCCCGCTGTGCGAACGGGCGCTGCAGGAACACGGAAGGATCGTTCAGGTGTATCTGTAGCCACGGCTACACATTATCCTCTGCTGGAGACCAGTGTGAAGGTAAGCTTCTGCACTTAAGCTACTTTTTTCAGTAAGATCTTGAATGTTTCAGCTGTAGGCACGAACTCTTTTGAGAATAGGGCAGAAAGATCTGTTGCTCCTCTTTATACTTTACTGTCAACCATTCAACATTCCCCACCTACACAGCCACATATTTAATGGATTCTTAGAAAAAGTCCCTGTAATCTTTCCCTGTACAAGGAATCAGCACATGTGTCTCGAACAGTAAGACTGGAAGAGCATTATTACCAAAAACAATTAAGCCTTTCCAAACCTTATTGCTCAAATTCTGACACAGAGGTTCTGTATTACAAAAGCTCCTGCCAGCATGCGCTATTCACATGGGGGCCTGCTAAGTTAAAACTTCTTCTCCAGCTGGTTTTGGGAACCTGTAGCCAGCCACCACAATCCCATGTGTGCACTGGCAGGAGAAAATATGTAGTATAAGAGGAGCTCCAGGGGGATCTGCTGGAGCTCACAGCTTTCACTGTCTCAGAGGCAGTCTACATACGGAGCTCATAAAAACAAAAACAAGAGGTGAAGGATGTACGGTAAATGTAGGCAGAAATGCTGTGTTATAGAAAACAGAAACATTCTGTTACCCCTCAAGCAGAACAATTTAATTGTCCAGTAATTGGCAGATTTTTTTCTAATTAATTATTTCAAAGCTACTCCCTCTTCTCCTTCGTTGGCCGTACGACCTGATCTGGTCTGCCTGCTGCACTGCTCATGCTCGCCTTGAGCATGTGAGGTTACTTACTAGTGAGCCCCAGAGAAGATTGTACATCAGTTGCTTCCTCAGCTCACCCTAGGGTGGAGAAAACTCTGAGTTAAGGTCTCTCCGTAGGTGTGGTATTAGCACGTAAAAGCTTCCCAGCCTCTGGTGTGCTTTCTGTAGCTGTCGATACCGCGGAAGACACAGCTCGTTGCTGCTGTCCTAGACGTGCGTGTGTGAAGGGTGGCAAAAAGCACTGAATGTCTCAAACGTGAGTTACCATCCGATTTTTCTGGACGTTCTTGTGCAGCAAACGTAGGACCTGTGAAGAGTTGCATCAGAGAAAGGGAGGTTTGCATCCTATACGGAAAATAACACATTTTGACTGAATTTGGCCAAAATTGCCTTCTTGTAAGACTTGGCATTAACTCAGCGCAAGGGAGTCAGGGAGTCATTAACTTTTTTCTCATGCTCCTGGTCACAATTAATTGCTGTTTTAAATAAACAACAATTTATTTCTCAGTTGGAAATGATTATAAAACACGTGGTTATCAAAAGGTCACAACTTTGTCAGCATTAAGTGCAGTTTTATCTGCAGTAACGTCCATTTATGTAAGAAAGCTATCCCTATTTCTTACTTTTATCAAATAGATTAAATCCCAAGGATAGGTGCAGTCTGATATAGCGTGGGCTTTCCCAAGGTGAGTGTAGAAATGAGGTCATGCCCTTTTTTTTAATTACAGTTGTTATTCATTCCTGCAATGCAGGAAAAAGTTAAAATTGTAGTCAGCTAAAATCCATGCTTAAGAAATCAGAATAATCAAAGGCAGTGGAAAAAGTGTTTGATAACTGTTTTTCAGAGGAAACTGTGTTGTCAGAGCAATAGACTCAGTGAAGTACGAGGTTGGGCACTGTGGAGGCAGGGGAAAGTGGCTTATGAGATGCTTCCCATTTGACTCTTATTTTCTGTTTGCTTGTACAGCTTAGCAGCACAATCATCAAATACCTTGTGATCTTTAGCTCTAGTGAAACCAAACTTAAAATGTCACTGGCATGTAGGCACTTGCTGAGTTAATCCTGTGCCCACAGCAGCTGTGCTCCCTTTCCCCCATGGGGCTGCCTTTAGGCCCCTTGAAAGGCAGCGGGAAGAGAAGACCTGGGGTGGAGGCAGTGCCAGTGTGCTGCTCTCGAGCTGGGGGGGCTTGGTACCTCGCGGGGACCCTGCACCGGGCCCTGCGGCGTGTCGGGCAGCGCCGTCGTCCCGGGGAGGGCGAGGCACTGGGGCCTGATGCTGCGGAGCGTCAGGGGGGGGCAGCTGGGCGCCAGGCCCCGCGCTCCGGAGCTGGCCTTACCCCTGGGTGCGGCACCGCGCAGCGGCAGCTCTTCGGCA